GATTGCTGAGATTGGCTTTGAACTAGCGATCCTCTTGCCTCAGCCTCTTAAGCTGCTGGGACTGCAGCTATGAGCCACCATGCCTGTTTTTTTTTTTTCTTCTTATGTTCTTAATATAGTATTAACTTTTATTCTAAGTCTATAAATTGTATTACAAAATTAAAATCACTGAGGATAAGCTCTCTCAGTTGCTGGAAAACTTAATTCATAGAAGTAATTGCATTAAATAAGCATGTATGTATGAATAGCAGCAAGAAAATATCTGAAAGGTTGTACCAAGAGGTTTTTTTCAAATGAGAAGAAAACAAACTCAAATAAACTTAAACTAAAAAGATAATGTGTTGGTTTGCATAGCAGAAAATCCAGTTTGGAAAAGATCTGGTCACAGACTAGTTCTCTACTCACCACTATGAATTGGGGGATAGGGGGTAAGAGGTAGATGTCCAGGTGCTAGATTGGCTAAACCTGAACCAAGTGCTCTAACCCTGGAATCCTAGACCAAATTATGGCCAATGTGAAGATGAGAGCCAAAATTGGAGGCTGAAGGTTATTTCAAGGATGAGGGAATATGAATTTGGGAAAGTAACAATAAAGAATAAGTGAGGAAGAGAGGGAGAGAGAGATAGAGACAGAGACAGAAGGGCAGGGAGGTTTTTATAACGTTATTGGGAACTGAAATTCAATATTATGTTGTTCCGGGGTTTTTATCTATATTGTCTGATTTGAAAAAACTAAAAAATGTTTTCTGTTATCCTTACTATGATATGCAAAAATAATATAGAAGTAATAAAACCCAAATAAACACAGAAAGCTTCCACCCCAGATGAGATGACATGTGCGAGTGAGTTTTTAGCTCTCTCTACTTATAAAAAATCCTGTATGTCCAAAATTTTGGGGCATTGCAAATACTATAATGATTCTTTGGGTTTAATGGGAATGCAGTGGTCACTGGGTACACCAGACCTTCAGTAACAGCATGCTCAGAAAATGAATTGGTCATAGTTTTTAAGCTCTCCCTTAGATATTTTGTTCTATCCAGTACATGGATCAAGAGAGGCACCATAATTCAAGAAACTGAATGTTGAGAGCCACAGCCGAAGGGGCCCCAGCAAACTTCCAGCTGCCAGCAAACTTCCAGCTGCCAGTTGATGATTGGCTCACAGCGGCCCCAGCAAACTTGTAGCTGCCAACTGATTGGCTGGGTGCTTGGGCAGAGCCAAAAAAAGTGCCCCAATGAGCAGCTCCGTGGTCTGAAAGGGTGGGGGGGACAGCCCAATGAGCATCACCACAGAGGAGCCAATCAGTTGGCAGCTAGAAGTTTGCTGGGGCCGCTGTGAGCCAATCATCAACTGGCAGCTGGAAGTTTGCTGGCAGCTGGAAGTTTGCTGGGGCCCCTTGGCCTGTGGCTCTCAACACTGAATTTCAGTCTCTGGACTCAGAATCTCAGCATCAAAGTTCTTGCCACATGTATATCTCCCTAATGAAAGAGAGGACATGTGGTTGACACACTTAAGAGTTCAACATATTAGAAAAATTTCAAATTAGAATGGTATTCAATAATTTATGAGGTTTGTCTCCTTCTTGGGATGAGTTAGTATGTAAGACTTATGTTCTTCTGCAATTTATTTTTTCTTGAAATTGAATAAATTAATGAAGATTATAAATTATTGCTTTCAAAACAAGCACAAAAATTAGTTCCAGTCTCCTTTAATCTCAAATACCCATTAACAATACACTTAGCATCATTGTTAGTGATTGGATAAGATAATTAATACAGAATAACAAGTTACCTCCTTGTAAAAGCATACACAAACTGAAACTTATGTAAACTACAAGCTTGATAATAATGTGCCAATGTAGGTTCACTAATCCTAAGAAATGCACTGTGCTGGAGAGGGGTGTCATAATGGGGTGGCTGAGTCTCGAGAATGGGGCATTTCTTTACAGGAATTCCGTACTTTTCACTCAGTTTTTTGGTGAAACTACAACTGCTCTAAAAATAAACTCCATTAATATTTTTTTTTAAAAAGTGTGCATTAACAAAATCTTTGCTTTTTTCCTAAATATGTTTCATAAAATTACATGTTATTCTAAATAGCACCTGAGTAATTATATTCACAATAATAGCTTCAGAAATTTGAGCTACACATAAAACATGCTCCCAATTTTTTAACTTTTTTTTTAGGTACCTCTTTCTCTTTTATCTTATACAATTAATGTCTTTAAAAATTAATTCCCTATCATAGGTGATATTCAAAGATCTCAACCCACCTTTGTACAAGCATGAAGTGTATGACTTTTGTCCTTCCAGGAATATTACATTCAAGCTTCACATTAGTGGAGAAATTGGTAATAAACCATCCGCCCATCTGTTTGCTTAATGGAAATCCTCAGTAAATGGGACTGGTGTCTGGAGCCAGGCAGGCTTGGTGGCACTGGGCTTTAGCCAAACATCTCAAACCATTTTCCTAAATGTTTTAGATCCAGCAAAATACAAAGCTGGTTTTACCAAGTATTTTTTTCTCTTTAATTTTTTAATTTGTGCTCATTGTGAGGGAAATTTAATCCATCTGTTCCACTGGCACTTAATTCGACAAATTATTGTTTTGTAAAAGAAATTTAATGTCCAAGAAGCTTTGTGAGCCTGCTACCCTCACCATTAGAATTCTGTTGAAGTACAGTTTTGCAAAGACAGATGGAACTCAGCGTTCAAAGTTTACTAAAACAAATATTGTGATCTAAATACTTTTATACTAGAAAACATGTATCTGATACCACCAGACAGCTTAATTTACAATATAGTCTAGTAAATTTAATAATTAAGATTTTGTTTTCAGTTTCTTGACTTTGTTTTAATTCTTTCTAATTCCAACTACCCCTAAGTTGTGGGGTACATGGTTCCCAGCCTATGTAATTTCTTTTTTCCATGCTCTGAGCATCATAAGGTTATGTTTTTCTACCAAAGGCTTTGATTACCTCTAAATGATGCCATTTCCCTGGGGCCTGGCTGTGTGTACACTTAGATGTGTTTGCACTTTCCGTCCAGGAATGCTCTAGGCAGATTCTGTATCACTAACTCTGCAGGATTATTCAGTGTATTACATTTTAAAAGGCTTTATGGACTCATAAAATTTGGAAAAACTGAGTTCAATGGATTTCTTTGCCTTAGTATTTTGGGGCCTTTATGATTTTAATGAGCATCTTGTGTCCCCTGAGAGGACAGTCTATGCAGAACTACAGAGCTGTGTTCCACTGTGGAGTACACTTTTCTTGGAGCATCTGGCTTAACTAGAGTTCTGTGGGAAAAAAAATGGGAAATTCTGGCCTACATCTTTCTTTTTTGCCTTTATTTCATTACCCTCCTAGTGTCTATTGTCTAACGACAAACAACAAACTGCCCTTCTTTTAAATTTAATTTAATTTCCTTTTCATTAGAGAAGACAGGATTTTTTTCTGTTTGACTGAAGTAACAAGGCTACCATGAATAAAGAATATAAAGTATCAAAGACTATTTTGCAACTATTTGAATGGAAATCCCCACTTTGGGGCTTAGTGGGCTGTGTGGCAACTTGGCTCAGAGGAGCTGGGTTCTTTGATTAATTTCTACCCAATTGTGCTCCTAGAGGCACTTTATCTGTTTTGTTTTTGTTTTTAAACAGAATTCTGTGAGAATTGACCCACATTTATTACCAAACTGGGAAAAAGGAAAGTAGAAGAAAATATTTTAACTAGCCTAAGAGTTAAAAAAAAAAAATTGCAAGTCTTTTCTATAGTGGAAAGTTATATCTATCTGTTGATCTATCTATCTATCATCAGAGAGAGAGAGAGAGAGAGAGAGAGATTTTTTTTTCTTTTTCTTTTTTTTTTTTTTTTGCTTTCCTAAAACATTCTGAGGTGAACCTCTCTAAAATGCCTTTTGAGAATTAGTCTCAATCCCTTGCATCAATTTGCTACCTGTTAAGGAACTTCCTTGGGAGATGAGTGGGTAGAGAAACTGCTTGTATGAAAACAGTCATATCCTTTGTAAGAGTTCATATAAATCTTTCAATTCATGGATGCCTTGGGAGTTGTGTGTGTGGCAAGGGTTGGGGAAGTATATGAAGGGGAGGGAGGGAGATCACCAGTTCCTGACTCAAAGGAGAAAAAATAACTTTCACCCTCTTTTCAGGTGAGGCAATTATATCCCAGGAGTGACACCTTGTATTTTAAGAAGCTCCCTTTACCCTAATCCTAACTTTAATCCTCACTGCAAGGGAAAAGAAGCCTCCTAAATATATAATCAATGTGCATAAAAATCACCTGGGTTAGACATGAACCTTCCCTGTCATTCTTTCCTATATTCTATCCATTCAGTGTGTTCCAGAATGTTCAATAATGATGATTTTTTTTTTTCACTGCTCTGATTTTGTATCTTCCAATGTTGTTCCTATGAACAAACAAAGAAATCATAAAGGGGGACTTGTGATTTTCTTGATGATTAGACAAAATATTTTCTGCATTATATATGACACAGTAAATTTATGTATTTATTTATAAACCATTCATAGAACTCTTCATTCACTCATATATTCATTAATGCATGCATTCATCCACTTAACTAACATTTATTCAGCACCTACTACAGAGGTTGAATATTTTCCAAAGTTTCTCACTTTCCAACTAAGTGAAAATCATTCCAGATTTTCTGCAAAAGACTTCCAGATGAAATATAAACTAAACTGAATAAATGTTAAAAGCCCATAGGAACATTAGTAATAGGTATAATTCATTTAGCTTAGAAATCATGTTTTTTCCCCTTGGGCATATATGATAATTACATAATTCTAGGATTATTATTGGGTCCCAAATCATAGGGAATCATATTTCATTTAAATAAAATATTCCAGTAAACTGATTCACATTTTAAATTTTTCTGGGTTTCCACATCTGATTTCATTGTGCATGAAAATTTAATTTTTTAAAAATTTTAGTTGTTAAGTAAAATATCACTTTGGAATGAAAATATCTTGGCGTCAGAATGGCATAGTTTATAGGATAGGCCCCAGAATAGAATTAAATCTGTACTGATATATACTTCTTGATTTTTGTTTGTTAGTTAAAATCTATATGGCTATCATGGGCAGAAGAAAATTATTTCTCTAAGTTTTCAAAAAAACTTTTTTAAAACAACAACAACAACAACAACAAAAATCCCTTTTTTACATCACCACTCTCCTAAATATATATTCCTATATATTTCAACAAAAAATTCTGTGTTTCTCAACAAAGCTCTCTTTTCTCTCTTTGTGTCAAATCTCTCCAGAAGAATTGTCTGTGCTTAGCCTCTTCCTGCATCTCCTTTAGGCCAGTTCTCAAGTGTCATCTTCATTGTGAGGCTTCATTTTTTCAGTGGGGTATCCCACTGAAAATTGAAAGTACCTCTTCTCCATGTTTCCTTTCCATTTTTCTCAGTTTTAATTTTACTCCCAATAAATCACAACCATCTTACATATGACATGCTGTACTATCATTTCTTCCCTATCTGTCTTCTCCATTGGTTATAATCTCTATGAGGAGAGAGGTTTTTATCTGAGATTCATTGTCAAACTTCTACCTGTCAGGGCCTACTAAATGAAAGAATTACAAGTTATAAATACATATCTGTAAACAAAGCATTCATTAAATCTCTGGTATTAATAGCACAGGAATCATCTCTCCAGTCAAACACCTGTTGCTTATAAAAACAAAAGTCTTATTTCATAATAACAGGGAAATGCTGAATTTCAAAATCCATGTTGGTTCTGAGCAAACAAATGGGCTATCTGGCTGATGTAGGATTAAGGAAACAATCCCAAACATTCAGAAAAGATCTTTCTTTTAAAATTTGCTTGAAAAACTTGAGCTTTTAGAGTGTAAGCAACCCAAAATTTAGATCATGTTGTCTGTTAAACTGTAAATTGTGACACCACAAAATAAGCTCTTCAAATTCCTGCACATGAAGAGTCATTCAGAGTTTAAATAGAGCTTCCCACTGAGGTGACCATGGATGATTTAGTGGAGGACAAACATTGAGGTTGACTTCTGGAGTCACATATCCACCTGCCCATATTTCTGCCTGGGTATCTCCCAGGCATCTCAAATTCATCCTGTGAAACCTGCTTCTTCGTTTCCCCCAGACAAAATCTGTGGCCCTTTGAGAATTCGAATCTCATTGAATGACACCAGCATCCACTTAATTTTTCAAACTAAACCAAACCAAATCCAGAAAACTGAGAATCATCTCTAATGTCTTTTTTCCTTTAGTTCCAGAAACCATCTAAACATCAATTTATCGCAATAAATATTTTTAAGTACTCTAACTTGTTCCTTTTTATCACCATGAACACTACTTTAATGCCACCATTTTTTTAACCTGGATTCCCATCAAGTCCAAATGTACCACCTGTCTATTATCTGTTGGATGTCTATATTCTCCATGTAGCAATCAAAGTGAACTTTTGAAAATGCGAAGTATGTTGCTCTTCTGTTGCTTTCCTATTGTTCTTAAAGTTGACTTAACCCCTGAGTATCTTTCCAGCCCCAGCACTCACCACACTTTTTCTTGCAGACTGTGTCTACACCAAACTAGACTGCTTTAGAATCTACAATGGGTCAGGCTGGGTTCTAGTGTTCCTTCCAATATAATTTCCTCAGGAAGGGTGCCTCTGACTTCCATGTTTTGCCTCCTACCGTACAGATACTACAGGGAGTGAAGTCAAGGATCCTTTTTTCTATTTCACCATATTCTAATCTCCCTCACAGAGTCCTTTTGTTATGGTAGAAGCTTCATTAATCACATCTTTCCTCAAAACTATGATAATAATAAAAAACAGTAATTGAGTGGCTGCTGTGTACCAGGTTCTGCTCGAAAACAATATATAAACAAACCTATTTAATAGAAAAAATCCTTATGATTTTGTTTTACAGCTGAGGAAACGAAAACACAGTAATTTGTTCATTTTCACACATCCTGAAAGAGCAAAATCAGTATTTAAGACCAGAAAATCTGCTCTTAAGTCCTATGATGTCTGTAAGAAAATACAACATGGCACGCACAATTTAAAAAGCATTTAATTGCAAGTAATTCCACAATTAAAAAAGCATACAATGAACCAAAAGATTTGAGCTCCTCTTGAAAAATCCATAATCTGTCTGCACTGGGGCCTATCCTTTCATGGAACAACCCCCTTACAAAGGAATTATCTCCTTTTTCTGTTGTCTCCCTGATAGAACAAGCCTCCTCCCCCCCCTTTTTTTTTAAAGAGAGAGAGAGATAATTTTTTTAATATTTATTTTTTAGTTTTTGGCGGACACAACATCTTTGTTTGTATGTGGTGCTGAGGATCGAACCTGGGCCGCATGCATGCCAGGCGAGCGCACTACCGCTTGAGC